TGCTCCTGGTAATATGAGGAGCAGGGAGAGGGCTCTTGCAGTTCAGCTGCCATAGAGGTAGACTGTCACCTGCAAATGTGCCATCCATATACCTTTCTGTGTACTTATTCCAGTTATCTGAATTAAATTGAGTCCAGGAAGCATCTGCTGGCCTTGCTCCTGTACCTAGTGTTGCAAACAGTGGTTAGAGCTTTTGTCTCCCTCATATGAAAGAGCTGTCTTTTTGCTGGCTTTCCTGACAGCTACCGCCATGGGGCTCTCCATTCACACCTCATGCTCTTTACTTCCTCCTACTTGGCTTCTGCCCAAACCCCAACTGTTCCTTGTTAGTTTTTATATATATTTTGAACTACTTTGCCAAAAATAAAGTTTGGGAGATTTTCCTTCTTTTTTGTGTTTTTTAATTGCTTTGCATTTTTAATTATTTTCCTTAGTTTTTTTCTTTTTTAAGATTTCCAAGGGGAATGCCTAGGTGGCTCAGTCAGTTAAGTGCCTGACTCTTGATTTCAGCTGGGGTCATGATCTCAGGGTCCTGGGACTGAACCCCATGTTGGGTTCTGCCCTCAGCGGGGAGTCTGCTTGAGGACTCGCTCTCCCCCCAGCCTGGCACTCCCCCCACTTGCACTCTCTCCCCCTGCTTCTCTCTAAAACAAATAAATCTTTAAAAAAAAAAAAAAGATTTCCAAGGAAAGAAATGAACAGTGCTGACTTATATAGACATTTTTATTCCAGAAATACCTAAGTTGCTGTTAATATTCATAACTGATACTGCAAGGGAAAAGGGAAGTAAAAAGGAAAGAAAGAGACAGGTATAAGAGGAGAATAAGAGGGGTGCCTGGGTGGCTCAGATGGTTAAGCATCTGCCTTCGGCTCAGGTCATGATCCCAGGGTCCTGGGATCGAGTCCCGCATCGGGCTCCCTGCTAGGCTGGGAGCCTGCTTCTCCCTCTGCCTCTGCCTCTCTCTCTCTCTCTGACTCTCATGAATAAATAAATAAAAACATTAAAAAAAAAAGAGGAGAATAAGGGAGAACATATTATAGGAAATTTGTCTTTAATTTCTGAAATATAGTGTAACATACCAAAAGTGGATGATGAAATGATTTCTCTGGATTATAAAACCCGGTTTCACAGCTGACATATATATTTTCCCTCAGTGGCTCAAGAATTGATTTGATTAGAAAAGTGAAACTATTGGGATTATAGATTATGTGCCAATAATACAGCACAAGAATCCCGAAAATGTAAATAAATAAATATAAACAACTATACACACACACATTTATTTATACCAGATATGCAGAGAAACAAACAGATGTTTACCCCAGAAGGAAAGATTGTTAAAGAACACCAAGGGGTTCAAATTCATCAGATAATTAGGTGAGAACTACACAGTCACGGCATGTGACCAGGGCGGTCACAAAGAGATCCATATTCAGAAAGACCCACATTTGGGGTTTCCAGTTCTATGGCTGCCATCTCAAAATTCTTAATAATTTTGTTATGGAACTGGTATTTTGTGTATGAAGTTCAGTGGACAGAGGAACTTGTGTCAGGGCTCATTCTTAACTCACACACAGTCCTACCACTTCTCCCAGACAAGTTCTGGGGAAATTATTTCTCTGTCCCTTGGCTCCCCAAGCTCCTCAAGCTCCCCAGGCTTCCTCCCCCTCCCCACTCTGCCTAGTGACTATTGCTGCCTCAGGTGAAAGCATGGAAAGGGCTAGAGCTGGGTGTGCATACCCCACAGTATGTCAGTGTGGGACGTGGAGGCAGCCACCTGCACCCTAGGCTGGCAGTGCCCCCGTGCATTTGTGGGGGGAACCAACAGGGACGAGCCTCTTGCTCACCCCAATCCAGGTACCAAGTATGTCCTGGTGTAGAGACTGCGATACACTTGGGAATTACCTGTCCACTGTGGGTTGGAGCAGTAGGCCCACAGAAAGGGGAGAAGCCTGTCTCAATTTTTCCACCCCTGGCCAGAGAAGGGCAGGCGTGTAGGCTCTGTGTGCACTAAGTCAGAGGGTTGGGCTCCCAGGTACCTGTGAGGCTCTGTACTTGTCTCATGAGTATCCCCATGCCTGAGAGAGCATGACATTAAATAGCAAATAAAAAATGCCTTGAAAAGAACCTATGAAAGAAAAGAAAAAGCTTTATACTTTTATGCCTTGAATGATATTTTTTCATACTTCTTGAAAAAGAGACCCCTCATTTTCATTCTGCATTGGCCCGACAAATTACGTAGCCAGTCCTATACAGAGCTGATTTTAAGGGTTTTGAGAGTGCATCCCTACACATTTGAAAGATGATAACCCTTCTCCAAGGGTGACCTGGAATCATGGTCAAGGCCAGGTTGGTGGATGATCACTCAAACACACACAAACACTGCTGAGACTCTCCAAGTGCCTCTACTTCTATTCTGGTCAACTGACCTGTTACTTTCTCATATCATAAATAACACTGGACAACTATAAAGAATTCAAGGAAAAACTGTTCCCACTTTTGCTGCATTTATGTTTAAAACATGAGGTTTCTGCTCTAATCATGTAAAAATGTCCAACAGAATCACTTTGGAAACTAAGAGAGTATGATTAAAATTAGCTAGAAGCAAATATTCTCTAGAGCAGTCAACCTGACTGCAAAATCCTTTTATTACCTTTATAGAGAAAGTTTCTCCAGTAACCATAATAAACATAAGGCAAGGGAATAAAATGTCCACTGCAGAATTTCTAAAGGGATACATAACATTTGGGTAGAAAACTCATTTTATTATCCATTTAGAATAGTTCACAAAGTGAATACAAATATATTATAATCTCATTTTTAAAAACCTGGTAACTTCCTACACTTCTGCTTTTTCAGAGGGAAAGCAGTGTCTCCTGCAGTAAATTGATATGTTAAATGAAAATACAAGTGTTTGCTTAATATTTTCTTCCTTTAAGTACCATAAGATAGGTGCCCCTTCAGATTAGAAGCTGGCAATCTAAAATCAGCCCATAAAACTACCAGAAGGAGAGTTTTTCGAAAAATCTCATACATTCTTCTCTTCTTCCTAGCAGAGATATAAAAAACACTTAGTGCTTTCTTCTACTTCTCCAGGAAAAATATCATTTTTAAAAGGATAGAGGAGAAAATCCTAGAGAATCTTGGCAGAAGTAAAGACCATAAAATACACAAAAATATTTGAATATTTGAAATAATAGTTTTCAAACAAGAGACAAGTAATACCAATGCTTAACAATATAAATACCAAAATAGGAATAAAACTTGCTTAATGCTGTCAAATCACATTTTAGAAGCCTGAGTAATTTTCCAAGAAAAATGAAAAAGGAAAAATGAACCATTTAATATACAAACATACAACACTTCCCCTAGAATGCTTCTTTCTCATCTATGCCAGAGTAAGATACAGAGAGATACAAGTAAGAAGATACTTGGGCACTGTGATGTGCTTCCTTTTCTCATGGCCTTAGATAGAGGGTTTGTGGCTTCTTTCTTTCTCCTCCCTTCTTTGTTCTTAAGGTGCTATCAGCTGAGGGGCTCCAATCTTCCCCCTGCCCTGCTCTGCTCTTAGTTTGGACTTTAACTCACCACAGCGATGATCTCTTCTCCTACTCTCTCTATAGCGAATCTGTAACTTAGAACTCTCCAGACCCTTGTCCTTCATTCTTTCATGTTACAACTCTTCTGTCCTTCAGTTATTCCCTCTTGTTTACATTTGCCTGTGTATCATAACTGCAAGAACACAAGGACAATGCTAGAAGCAGATGGGCACTTTTTCTCACACACACAGGCATACCTCGTTTCATTGCACTTCGTTTATTGTGCTTTGCAGATCACTGCGTTTTTCACATATTGAAGGTCTGTGGCAACCCTGCATCAAACAAGTCTATTGGGACATTTTTTTTTTAATAGCATTGGCTCACTTCATGTTTCTGCCTCACGGTTTGGTAATTCTTGCAATATTTCAAACCTTTTCATTAGAATTATTTTTGAATTGCAGCAATCTCTTGACAAAACTTCAATGGATGAGAAGTTGCTTCTTATGAATGAACAAAGAAAGTGGTTTCTTGAGATAGAATCTCTTGCTGGTGAAGATGCTGTGAAGATTGTTGAAATGACAAGAAAATATTTAGAGTATTACATAAACTGAGTTGATAAAGCAGTGGTGGGGGGCCTGAGAGGACTGACTCCAATTTTGAAAGAAGTTCAACTGCAGGTAAAATGCTATCAAATGGCATCGCTACACATGCTCCCCATGCTACAGAGACATTGCTCATGAAAGGAAGAGTCCATCAATGCAGCAAACTTCATTACTGTCTTATTTTAAGAAGTTGCTACGATCATCCCAAACTTCAGCAACCTCCACCCTAATCAGTCAGCAGCCATCAACATGGAGACAAGAACTTGCACCAGCAAAAAGATTACAACTTGCTGAAAGCTCAGATGATGGCTGGCATTTTTTAGCAATTAAGTATTTTTTAATTATCTACGTTGCTTTTTTCGACACAATACTATTGCCTACTTAACAGACTACTATACAGTGTAAACATTACTTTTATATGCACTGGGAAACCAAAAAATTCATTTACTCGCCTTATTGTGGTATTTCCTGTATTGCAGGGGTCTCAGACCAGACCCACGATATCTCCAAGGTATGCCTGTACATTCATTATATTCCTCAGCTCTACCCAGTCATCTCCACAAAATCCCATCCAACTGTTATATGTACTGCTTCATGTCATGGGAGATTAAAAGAGGCACAGAATTAGACTAAGCACTATCTAATCTAGACTGTTCCTTACAGACAAGCTTTTAAAATCAATGTGAGAGTAAACAAACGTCTCAAACATGCCCGCTTTTATTCAGCTTCTACCCAGCTTCTTTCCAACATGAGGCTGGGCAATTAGTTCTCAAACCCAGGAGGAGAGAAGGGATTAAATAATTTCAGATTGAGAATGGTAGTCATAATAATTCATAGCGTACAAAAGGACAATCATACCTTCGTAATTGCAGTGAAGACCTTTTCCAGAATGGCATTTGGCTGGGCAATTTGTGGTCCATTGGCCTGAATGTTGAGGGCTATGGCACATGGTTTGGCTACAAATCTTAAAAAAAAAAAAAAAAAAAAGGTCAGAAGAAGTTATTCTTTCTATAACTATTCTTAATGTCACCGATTAATTACATATTACTCCACTGTCCCAATAAACTGCTGGGTGGACACTACTAACACTCATATGTTGGGCACTCCTTTTTTTCTCTCCTTTAGTCCTCCAGCAGTAACAGTAAAAAAGAAATCCTTTTAAAACATGTAAATCTCCTGATCCTTAAGTTCTAATGAGACTGAACGGGTAGAAAGACTACCAAATGACAAATAGAAGTACATAAGTGAAATAGATAAACAAAACAAACCATCATTTTAAAATGATGTAATTTATGCTTTTCTTACACGTGGCTAGCAATTGTCATTGCTCATATATTTTTGCTGTGAGAAAGTATTTACTAACCAACTGATTACACATGGAAAATGTACCTTTGATCACCCCTACATCATAAAATTGGCCATTTTTGCCTCTATAATCAAAGCACACTATATTCAGCCCCAATTCCTTATGGCTTCTTAAAATTCCTGCTTTGCGGTTACTTGTGCCTTTCTCATATGGAGTAATGAACGATGTCAGACAGCATGATGTCCCAGACAAGTTGAAAAGTCTGAAATGATTACAAGCATCTGCTGCACTGTTTTTATCCTAAGCAAATGACTATGTCAAGAAGAATGGGAAGACATAGCTTCATTTCTGGTCATGTTTGATATGTGAATGAGGCATTGAAGGAGTAGGAGAGGGCATGGGGCCAGCCCCAAAGGTATGGTGACATCTCTAAAGCTTTTTTTTTTTTTTTTAACACATTTACAACTTTAAGAGTTGTTTTAGCCTAAATGTTCAAAAAAATAAGGTTTTGTGAATGTTCCTTTTCAGCAGTGACATTTAACATTGTCTACTGATACAAAATAATATCAGAAGAAAGTATTACCTATATTAATTTAATGTTGGCCAAAGGCAACAATTGATAAATGTACAAAACAGATCATGAAGCTTTTTAATATTAGTTGATGAGATTAAAGAACAGCAGACAAAGGAATTTTTTTAAGTGGGACTAATGAAGTTTACATACATACATCACTTAATATCCTACTGGGTCCCATTTCAAGTTAAAGAGAAGACATTTATTCAAACAGGAAAATGGAAGACTGTACATGCAAGCCTAACCCAGGAAAGATATACATAGAAAATGTGATATAATACCTGTTTTGCTGGGCTCTCTGGGACAAAGTTAGGAAGGAGTAACCACCTTTTCCTAGCATGTAAGTGTTCTAGAATCTGGAGTTTTCCCCAAACTTGCATTCTCGATTCTTTTTAATGTAAAATGTTCTAAGATATATTACCATTGCCCCTACCTTCTTAAAGAGAAATGTAACCTTTTTCACTCTGGGTCTTCACTCTGAACAACAATCATGGAACTATAGCTATAGCTCATGGAAAAAAAATGAAGGTTGATGGGTAATGCCCACAGAAAAGAGTCCAGAACTTGTTTTCTTGACAAAGTCTCCTGCCTTGTGGTTTTTTCCCTCCTCCTTATGATAAGAGTGTGAAAAGATACAAGGTCCAGCAAGAGTGGGGAAAAAAAAAGGTAAAATAGCAAGATTAATTTGGTGTAAGAGCCAACATCAGTTAATCATTCATTGCCTTCTACTCTTCCCTGTCAGTTTCTCCCCTGCCCTCCCTCATCTTCCCCATCCCCACGAATTCTAAAACACTGTTCAAATTTCCTTTCTGAATTTGCCATTATCCTTCTGTCCCAGTACATGGCCTTTTTTCTATCTTCTAAAGAGTTAAGAGTCGAAATGCAGAGGATGGTTGATTCATGAGGGGGTCAAGAAATGTGACCAACTGGCTATCTTCAGTAAATATGTTTTCATTGTTGCTACCACTGTTTTGAATGCTGTTGACAAGTTAACAGACTTCCCTGTGAACCCCACAACAATGTCTGGGTAAGCAGGACAGTCAAGAAATTCACTCAACCGAATTAATTCAAAAGCCACTTCCTCACCTTTGCTATCATCCTGCAGTAACTCAAAAAAAAAGCATTCAAAAAGGTTTTTTTGTATCTATTATGCAATAATAGATTACTTACACATTTCTCCTCTTTTTAAGCTTCAAGCCACTTCTTAAAAACTCTTCTCTAAATTTCAAGAGCTAATGCCAAAGCATCTTGAAGAAGGCATATCCCTTGATCACCAAACTTATCAAATTTTGGTAATCAAAATTATCAAGTAAATATGATGCTCTGTAAACAGATTTTTAAAGCAAAGTCCAAAGGATTAGATGGAAATAATCTCTGCCACTATCTAGCTGTGGCACCCTAGCTGCAGAAATCTCTCTGTGCCTCAATCTCCCCATATATAAGAAAATTTAATATTAACTACATATGTATGGGGGTGCCTGGGTGGCTCAGTCAGTTAAGCATCTGCCTTCACCTCAGGTCATGATCTCAGGGTCCTGGGATCGAGCCCCACGTCGGGCTCCCTGCTCAGTGGGGAGTCTGCTTCTCCCTCGCCCTCTGCCTGCTCGTCCTCTCTCTCTCTCTCAAATAAATAAGATCTTTAAAAAGATAACTACATATGTATATAAATTGCATGTATGTACAAATACACATATATGTTAAAACATGATGTCCCAGGGTCTTTCTATCTAAAACTTCTGATGGTTTCATACGATATAGCATTTATACATCATGACTTCTCTGGGCTCAGAAACCCACTCAGCTTCAGCTCTACTGTGCCAAGCCATGTGCACCCAACAAGTTCTAACAGTACCAAGCAAACACGGGCAGAAACCTAAACAGGCAATTGAAAAAGACCAGGGTCATCAGATAGAGTAACCACTTGCCTCAGTCAAAGCTGCCCACTCAGCATCGGTGTTCGCTCCCTCAACCCCTCACCGGGTGTTCTCTTTTCAACTTACCTAGTACACACAGCCAGGCACTTAATTTTCAAGATTTAAAAAACTTTTCACAAGATAGACAGAAAACATGTAATTTGAAATCTCAAAGGAGAGGAGAAAAGAAGATATATTTTTTTATTTTCCTAATAGTATCCTTAATTATAAGAATATGTAGACATCTTACTTGTGTTTATTCCCCAAAGAATTTGTGAATCACTGCTGGGCATTTTATTTTTTCAGAGAGAGTATGAGACACCAAATAAAACCCATGACACAAGTACCATAATTTTGTTACCTAGGATCATGGTCCATTAGAGAAAAGCTGGATTTTTTTTCAATGCTGGCTCTAACAGAAATAAGTTCACAAAAGCTGTCTTTCACAGGTTTGTAGAGAAGAGAGATACATGGCGGGGTGGGGGGCGGGTAGGAGGCATACCTACAACTACAGTAGTTAAAAGGAAATATGTACTTTCAGACTTTGATGATTACCTTTACCAGAAATGCTCACCTAATTACTTTTTTATCAAAGGCAGCAACACTGCCTTCACAAGATCAAACATCTATAAAGTACTTTCATGTAGCAGAACATATGTGCAAGGGAACATAATAGGATATGAGCTTTGAAAAATACTAGTCTCGGTTCAAAAGCAGAGAAAATACCTAAGACATTTCTACTTTTTAATTCTATTTAACAACATGTATTTGTATTTTAAACAGTAATTGAACATCTTTGTACAGAGCACCAAAGTAAGCTCTGGGCTGTGGTGTGGGTAAAGGTACAACAAAACACAAAATGATTACTGCACTCAAAATGTTTACAATATGTTAAAGGAAATTAATTTAAAAAATAAATAAATGTTTAGAGGGCAAATATTAGTTCTAATCATTTAATACCATGTAATCTTCAGTGTGGAACACGGCCAGAGACTTTTAGTCCTTTCTAACTCTAGCATTTCCTGCACTTTACAAAACAGTTGTGAGGCTGCAGTGCGAGATATGTAAACCTACACATGATGTAAATGTACAGAATTAAATCACACACACACACACGCACGCGTGCGCAAATGAGTATAAGTACACCTGGAGAAATTTGAACAAGTTCAACAGATTTTAGAAATGTCAATATTCTGATTGTGATATTATACTATAGTTTTGTAAAATGTTACCACTGGGGGAAACTGAATAAAGACTACATGAACTCTCAGTGTATTACTTCTTACAATTGCATGTGAATTTACAACTATCTTAATAAAGATTTCAATTAAAAAAATAATTAGAAAAGTTCTGTTTTTACAGTATGGAGTTCCTCAAGAAGTTAAAACAGAACTACCCTACAACCCAGTAATGACACTACTAGGTATTGACCCAAAGAATACAAAAATACTAACTCAAAGGGATACATGCACCCCAATGTTCATAGGAGCATTATCTATAATAGCCAAATTATGGAAACAGCCCATGTGTCCACCAACTAATGAATGGGTAAAGATGTGGTGTATTTACACAATGGAATATTATTCAGCCATAAAGAGGAATGAAATCTTGCCATCTCTAGCAACATAGATGGAGCTAGAGAGAGCATAATACTAAGTGAAATAAGTCAATCAGAGAAAACAAATACCATATGATTTCACTCATATGTGGAATTTAAGAAACAAAATAAATGAGCAAAGGAAAAAAAGAGGCAAACCAACAAAACAGACTCTTAACTATAGAGAACACACTGACGGTCACCAGAGGGCAGATGGGTGTGGGGATGGGTTTAACAGGTGATGAGGATTAAGGAGTGCACTTGCTGTGATGAGCACCTGTGATGTATAGACGTGCTGAATCACTATACTGTACACCTGAAACTAATATAACACTGTATGTTAACTAACTGGAATTTAAATAAAAAACCTTAAAAAAAAGAAAAAGAAGGGTGCCTGCGTGGCTCAGATGGTTAAGCAGCTGCCTTCGGCTCAGGTCATGATCCTAGGGTCCTAGGATTGAGCCCCACATCAGGCTCCTGGCTCAGCAGGGACCCAGCTTCTCCCTCTCCCTCTGCTCTCCCCCTGCTCGTGCTCTCTCTCCCTCTATCTCTGTCTCAAATGAATACATAAAAT